ACTCTGTGTGCACTCAGACACTCTGTGTGCACTCACAGACTCTGTGTGCACTCAGACACTCTGTGTGCACTCAGACACTCTGTGTGCACTCACAGACTCTGTGTGCACTCAGACACTCTGTGTGCACTCAGACACTCTGTGTGCACTCACTCTGTGTGCACTCACAGACTCTGTGTGCACTCAGACACTCTGTGTGCACTCACAGACTCTGTGTGCACTCAGACACTCTGTGTGCACTCAGACACTCTGTGTGCACTCAGACACTCTGTGTGCACTCACAGACTCTGTGTGCACTCAGACACTTTGTGTGCACTCAGACACTTTGTGTGCACTCAGACACTCTGTGTGCACTCAGACACTCTGTGTGCACTCAGACACTCTGTGTGCACTCAGACACTCTGTGTGCAAAAAACCTGATATCAAATGGAATGTTTTACTTCTTAAAGTGAGTTCTGGTCAGCATTTAAAAAACAAACAAATGGACCCTGGTGTTCAGCAGTTTGTGTGTCAGATGTTTGTGTGTCAGATGGACCCTGGTGTTCAGYRGTTTGTGTGTCAGAGAGCAGAACTCACTCCTCCGGGGGGTTGATGTCCTCAGCCTTCGTCTCGAAGAAGCGCAGAACCTCCTCGCTCTGAGAGATGTGAGAGGGGAGCCGGACCAGAGCCTGCAGGAGGACACAGATCTGGATCAGCTGGTTTCTGGTACAGACCCAGAACCTCAGGACTGGGTCTTCTTCCTTTTTTTTTTACAGCAGGACATTGGAGACACTGCTGGGTCCAACAGGACAGTGATCCCAAACATAAGAACTGATCTCTGATTGGATAAATCAGACTAACACGAGGAGCCGGGCCCTGAAAATATGATCCGGACATCTCGATGCGTTCAGGTTTCATGCAGCAGCGGCTCGGTCCACTTCCTCCCAGGAACAGGAAGCAGGACGTAAATAGGTCTGCTCTGTTTGGGTCATTAAGGTGTTTTTTTAAAACTTGGAATTGCATCTTTAGACCCCAGCCGACCCGTGTCTTCACGAGGAACACCTGCCTCCAAAACATAAAGAAGGTTCTGATCCACTTCCTGGTCCTGATGAGGCTCCAGGAGGAAGGAAGGGAGAGATGGAGGAAACTATCTGAATCCGGTTTGGGTTTAAAGAGTGCGAACAGGAAGCGATAATCAGGCCTCCTGAACYGCATTGTTTCACTTTGAAGGGTTTTAATTTGGTGGACAGGAAGTCCTCATGGGCTGAGGACTTCCTGTCCTCAGAGAGGTTGAAGCTGTCCCTCAKTGAGGACAACTCTGGAACAAACTGAGTCAGAACGAGTCTTTACCCTGCAGTAGTCATCGATGAAACGCAGCCGCTTCATGGCCACGTCTCGCACGTGACTCCTCCGGAACAGGATTTTGCCTGGGGGGGTGAGGGGGACAAACGGTCAAAACGGAGGGAAAAACAGAGGAAAGGTGAGACATTAGGGTAAACAGACAACAGTAAACACCTGAAACATGTAAACAAACAGAACTAAAACTAAAAAACTCTGATTTCCCATGACGGTTAAAGGCATCGTCTCAAATTTTAATCTGCCAGCAGACTCAGAGCTTTCTGTTTAAAAAATAAAATAAAAATCAAATGAAACCTGCGAGGAGAGGAGCTGCGGGCTTAAAGTCTGAAAACTGGATTCTGAACTAAGCGGGCCTAAAAGAGATCCTGACAACTCTGACTTTCAGTTCAACACAAACGGCTGATCTGGAAATYTAACGTCAAATTTAATCCCTGTGGTAGAAAATGAAGAAAGGAGAAGAAGAAACCAGAGGAGGCTATTCAACTGGTGGCCCGGGGGCCCGGGGGTTAGCCAAGTCTGGCCCACTAATGAGCTTATTGTAAATTAAATTTAAGACAAGAAGTTCAGGACATCCGGCTCCTGACCTGTTTAAACTCCAGGTTTGTTGTTGTAAACAAAGAAAACATTCTGATTGTTTATTTACAGGAAAAATACTCAAACTTATTAGAAAAATATGAAATTTTATCTTTTACAAAACAAAACCTAAAAGGGGCTCAAACTTTTGCATGGCCCTACATCTACAACAGGTAAGATATTTACATTTTACTTTTAGTTTTCAGCAGAGTTGTAAAG